CCATTTCCATCTGTACAAGCAACATCAGATGTGTCTCTATATCTTCTTTATAACTGTTGTACATGAAAATGAAATTATGTGAATTCGCAATTCACATATGTGAAATTCAAATTAGCCAATCCCACTCCATAATATTTCAATTTCACATACAACATAACCAAACACTTTAAAATCAAAGACTTCAAACCATATTTCTGAATTATTTCGTTGTACAGCTGTAAAACATCCCTGTTTGTCAAATTTAACCTGCCTATAGTTGATTGATTGATTAGTATTAATTTCACTCAAAAAAAAATTTTTTTAATTAATTAAAATAGAAAATAAATCACCAATGAGTTTTCCAGATTTCATGTCCCACATGTGTAATGCTTCATTTGTACCACATATCACTTTGTCTTTGTCATGCTGGACCGGAAACATGTAGGGTTTGCATTCATGAATACCATGAATACCATTATGGGAGTTGCACAGTAAAAAATCCCTTAAAAACATTAATTTAGTGTTGTGACACTGTGTAGCCTCATTACAGTATCCGTGAATACAAACCTAGAAACATGTTATTTTACATCCTGCACATTTTCCTGGATTAGTAAACATATACTTTCTTTTATAATTATTTGCATCCATTATAAAATAACAATGGTAGCAGTAATAGAAGCTAAATAGTCATCTGAAAGTCAAAGTGGATTGGAGCAAAGAAGAGGTGCTTAAGTAACATAAAAATATTTTATCAGTTATGTCAAATGTAAAAAAAACAAAAAGGATTTTAATAAAATGTTACTATAAATATGTCTAGATGATAAATTTAGTGTATGTAGTTGAGTCCCATCTTCAATGTTCCAAAATTTAATCATACCAAGATTTTTTTTTTCTGTTGATGCAAATTGTTTTTTTTTCTTGGAAACAATCTTATTTTTTGACAGATGACAAATGTGAGCCTCCTAAAGAAGAAGTGTAAATAACTAACCATAGGTACTTTTTTATATTGATATAATGTGGTGTCTTTTATTTTATAAATATTTTAATTGAAATCAAAACATGGAGCAGAACTTGCTAGGTAATAAGATCCTTATCAAGATGGTAATGATTGGTATTCTGCTTTTTGTATTAGTAATAATAATAATAATATTATTATTATTACAAGATGTCAAAAAAACCAGCCAATAAGTTTTGAAGCTTGAGTCATGAACAAATAAAACTCATTGGTTAAATTTTTTAAAATGATATAATTTTTGTTTTAGTATTTTGGAGTTGACCAATTGTTACTACATAGTGAATCTTGATTTAGTGGACATCGATTTAGCAGATACTAATTAAAAATCTTGGTTTTATGGATAAAGTTCAAAGACTTGATTCCATAATAAAAACCTTCTTGATATAGCAGATATCTCCATTTAACAGATTTTTGGAAAATTTTCCCTAATTGCACAAACTATCTGCTAAATTGAGATTCACTTGTGTCTCTTAAACGGTCAAAGTATTCTTTAATTGTAACACAAAATAATATTTTGATCACGATCTTGCATTCTTATTGGCCAATTTAACGATCTGCAAAGTAAAAGTAGTCAATCGACCAACTACAGTTCACACTCTCTATAACGGTCCGCCTGATTTGGCAAAAAAGGCCATTATAGAGAGTGTGTTTGCAGATAATAGTCATGTGATAAATTATAATGTGATACAATATAAAGATTTTTATTTTATATGATAAAATATATTTAAAAAATAAATGAAATAAATAAAAATAAACTGTTTATAATTTGCATACTTATTCAATGTTAAAAAAGCTATCTAGTGTGGATTGTTGTTGTGAGTTAAAATCAATTTTTTTCATTTTTCTTTTAAGACTTTTCAATAATTTAAAATCGTCCTCATTTAATTCTGATTGTTGGTCAATGTAAATTTCTAATGTTTTTATTGCTGACAAGGCTTCTTTATTTGTAACAGGTGGAAGTTCTTCGATTATTTCTTCCTGGCTTTCATTTTCCTCTGGTGGATTAATTATTGTAACTATGTCATTTAGATTATTTCATCACTTACATTGAGAGTCATCGATTTCAATGTATTCAGACGCATATATAGGATTAGGGAGTGCAAAGTTCATCAATCAAATTTTGCAAATCATTGAGCTCTCTTACATTCAATAAATTTAAAATTGATGACATATTTTCAATTTCGTTGGAATTAATATCATAATCAGGTAAGATACCAGATTTTTTCCAGCAGTTAACTATAGTTTTGACTGGTAACTTTTTTCCAAGCTTTTGCTGTAAATTTAATTGCATGTTTTAATTGAAATTTTTTCATATTCTTGACCATTTCTCACTTCTTCATAATCACCAACTTTTTTTTGCAAGAAAAATTTTTTGTAGTTCACCTTGAAGCTGTTGATTATCCCGGCATTACATTGTTGTAAAAATGTTGTTATGTTTGGTGGTAAGAAGTAAACTCTTACATTAGTTAAATTTGTTGAATTCAGAAATAGAGTGAGTGGGAGTATTGTGACAGACAATAAGCGCGTTCAAATTATTAATAAATAATTGAGTGTGACACACTCAATTTCTTAATTTGGTAATGATTACCTCAGATCATGATCGTCAACCGTTATAGACAACATATGATAATGTCCAGACTGGCCGTTATACACTATAGGAAATTTAATTAAGAAAACCGTTATAGAGTAAGGTTTTTATATAGTAAAAAATTGGTTTCTGATTTACAGTGCGTTATAGAATGGAGGCCGTTATAGAGAGAGTGAACTGTAATAATAAAATTAGTGCAACATTTTGAATGACCATTATGCTGCACAAACCTCAAGACCAATAAATCATTTCGACCACCAAATTATTTTCCATTTAATTATTAAGAATAGATTACAATGGTAAATTTTAAGATGATCCGGCTCAACTAATTAAAGCACAAAATCAAATAAAGCAACCAGCCATTCATTCATAAACTTTATCAGATAATTTCAAACAAGCAAACTTAGAGCAATCAAGCAATCGCTGCTTTTTAAAAGATTATCGATCCTTTCGTTGGCTCTTTCGGCTTTCTTTTTCGCTTGCTTGGTTTCTTCTTTGTTCCGTTCAATTTGCTCTTCTGAATTCTTAATTTTTGGCTATGTTTCTTTAAGTTACTCACATTCACAATCAATAACAGTTTACTCAAACAGTGGAGTGTTTGATATATTACCAATTTTTATGCAATTTAAAGGCTTTATCTTTAGTATATTCTGGCATCAAAACCGAATATTTGAAAGATACTTTATTGCCAAATCTTGAATCTATGACATTATATATCCATAATCCATTATTTATATCAGACCTATTTGATTTTATTAACAATAATGAAAAAAATCTTAAATATCTAAATCTTGATGATGTTCGGAATAATGGATTTTTGGAAATATACTTCAATTAATTGCACAATTTTGTAAAAATTTAGTACATTTATCAATAGTTTATGAGGATGGTGCAGTGATGAACTGTGCTGATAATCCTGGAGCCAAAAATTTATACGTTATCTCAGTTAAAGGTATTCATGCTAGTTTGAATAGATTACTTGCAGCTGGAGTTGGTGATATGGTTATTGGTAACTGTTAAAAAAGGAAACCTGATTTAAGAAAAAAAGGTAAAATTAATTAATTATATATATGGGGGCTTTTCAATAGGACGGACCATGTTGTAAAAATGATGTTTTGAGGAAATCAAAAAAAGACCCGCATTTTAAGAGGTTTACTCTCGTTTTTGAAATTTTAAAGAAAAGTATCTCGATATTTTACTATGCAAATTGGGAATGGTTTCTAAGCCAAAAACGTTCTACGCGAGGAATTGCATATAGCAATGGTATTAACTCAAAATTGCTTTTTCACAACGTCCGTTCTATTGAAAAGCCCCCATATATGAAATTATATCCTCATTTAATTATATATAATAATAATAATGTTATTTTTATAATGTTATTAGGCAACGAAAACCTTGGAGAAAAAGAGATGGTGTTTTTCTATATTTTGAAGGTAAACAAATAAATTCATTTTTTTTAATATATTGCTAAAGCAATATAATTTACGAAATAAATTTTTTTTAAAGATAATGCTGGTGTTATTGTAAATGAAAGGTTCAGCTATTACAGGTTCAGTGAAGGAATGTGCAGATCTTTGGCCACGTATAGCTTCTTCATCTGGAACTGTGGTACGTTTTTAAGGATAATGGTTGTTGGCTGTTTTTTAATTATAAAAAACTGATTATTAATCATAAAATTTTTTTCTCAATAATATAAAGGTATAAAATGCTATATTACTAAATTAAGTAAATTTATTTAAAAATTTTATTATGCAAAAGTTGATGTTTTTATAAATTAATAAAAGCCGTATAAATTGGGAATTTATTGGTTTTTGTCACATTAAGTTAAGGATTTTCAGATTTTATCATGAATTTTATTCCAAAAAAAAATTTAACAAAAAATCATTGTTAGCTTTTAATCTTTTGTAGCCATCTTTGACAATTTGTGTATAAATAATATAAATATTTATATGTATATTCTTTGCATTTAATTAAAAAAAAAACTTGTATGATGTATGTATTATTATTAATATATAATATAATATATAATATAAAAAAATAATTAAAAAAAAATATAAGGGAGGGCAAAACAAAAAAGGACTCCTTTATATGAATGAAAGAAAATTTAAAAAATAAAATAACATTAATAAAACCAACACACCACACCCTATGAAGCCTTAGAATAGAATCCCGAAATTTTTTTGTGAAATTATATTATTATTATTATTATTAATTATTATTGTGATATTTTTAATAAGATAAAAAGAACTTGCAATAAAAATAATGAAAAAAAGAAAGATATTAATTTTACACACAGACTCACTCACACTTGATGTAAATAATAATTGGGGGCAATATGATATATAAAAATGTTAAAAAATGATGTATGTATAAAAAAATTATTTTTTATTAATATTAATTAATTTATTTATAAAATTGCTACTTAGATTCTTCTGCTTCAACTTCTGGTTTGGCGTCGTCTTGTTTTTCTTCTAATTGTCGTATAAGTGATCGTTAATAACAAATTGTATAAAATCATTATTTTTTTTTAAAGGACGAAAGATATTTACCCTCTTGTAAGTCAGAAGTCCAAAGAGTTAAATTATCTCTTAACAATTGCATAATTAATGTGCTATCTTTATAAGACTCTTCACTTAAAGTATCAAGTTCAGCAATAGCATCATCAAATGCTTGTTTAGCAAGATGACATGCACGATCAGGTGAATTGAGGATCTCATAGTAGAAAACGGAAAAGTTTAGAGCAAGTCCGAGGCGAATTGGATGAGTTGAAGGCAAGTCTGTTTGAGCAATATCAGTGGCATGTTTATACGCTTCATGTGCTTGTGTTGCAGCTTCTTTTCTTCGTTCACCAGAGGCAAATTCAGCAAGATATCGGTGATAATCACCTTTCCTGTAAAGATATTGGTAGAGCGTGTATATAAAGAATTAATTAATTAAAGATTAATTATTTTATAAATATTTTTCACCATAATTTCTTACATTTTATAATAAAATACTCTAGATTCCCCAGCCTCTGCAGCTGGAATTAAATGTTCATCCAATACAGCAAGAATATCCGAACACACTTCGGAGAGTTCAGCTTCTACTTTTTGACGATATGCTTTAATCTTTTGAACTTGAGTATCATTCCCCTTGTTTTCTTCTTTTTGTTCAATAGATGAAATAATTCTCCAAGATGCACGACGGGCACCAATTACATTTTTATAAGCAACCGAAAGGAGATTACGTTCTTCAACAGTAAGTTCTACACCAAGCTAAAAATAAAAATAATTATCAATGAAGTGAATAATTAATTATAGTAAAAAAATTACTATTTGATCAATGTATTAAAAATAAAATGATAAATTACCTTGGCAACGTCCTATCATTGACACAAACAATAATTAGACGATGAAGATGAATGACAATTAAGACTTTTTTCTAATAATAATAATAATAATAATTTACGTACTTTCATGTAGGAAACCATTTCTAATTGATAATTCAAGAAATTCAATTATCATGAAAAGAAATCATATTTAATTGATGTGAAATTTCAATTTTATTTAATTAATTAAAGAAACAAAATGAGAGTAAAGAAAAAAGAGACGATTACCATCATATCTTTCAGCTTGCTCAGCGAGCTTAGCCATGTAAACCTTTAGTAATTCATTAATTAATAGTCAATATATATATATAGACAGAAATCAATATAATTTGTTTTGATAACTAATATACAATTATATTAAAGATGATACACGGTTTCAAAATACCTGGTTTTCGCGTGCCTAAAAAAACCAAAAATTTAAAGAAGACATTAATTCATTAATTTATTACAAATACCATGTTGAGTTAATTTTTTGCTTTTTAAAGCTAAAAAGAAGAAAAAACTTTTTATGCTTGTTTGATAAAATACTAGTTATCATCCTTTACTCATGTCCATCATATACCGCCAATCATATTTATTGAACTTCATAGTTAAACACTAAAAAATAAGAAAACTTACAGTAATAGCCATTGTTATTGTACTTTGTGTGTGGTGGAAGGGGTCAAAGGAGTCTCTTTTAGTTTTGAAAGGAATAGTTTTTTTTGGGGGGTAAAGACAAACTGATGCAAGTGACGGTTAATAACTGGAAACTCTTTGAGCAGGCCGGAGTAAATGATAAATACACAAACAGTTTTTGACTAGATAGTTTACAAATAAATAAATAAAAAAAATTTTTTTAAAAATTTATATGAAATTTTTTTTATACTTTTTGGTTCAGTGTGCTACCATGCGAAAAATAACGCAGAAAGCGGTGGCATATTTTTTGAATTCTCCGCTTTTAAAAATTTTGGGGCCCAAACACAAACTTTTTTTTATTTAATTTATATAATATGTATTATCATAAACAAACACCCACCCTTTTTCTAATTATTTCCATGCAAGTTGGTGATTATTTTAATTATTTTATTTATTTTACTGATCTTATTCATCTTTTTTTTATTAATAAAAAAACAATTTTAAAGGAATTTTTAATATTGTTTTGTGGAGTAAAGAAATGTGTCACTTGTTCCCTCTCTTTTTCCCAATTAAAAAAATAAGAAGACTTGTTTAACAAATGCATGTGCCTTTATGAACCAATCATATCTTATTTACCTTAATCGGATTGGTTTTGAAAACTTGTTAGTATAACAATAATATCGTCATCGTCATTATCAATCAAATCATCGTCCTTATCAAAACTAACGTAATCTTTGTACAATGCAAATGTCATGTGAAATTCCGTTTTCTCCCATAGTATTCCAAGCTGAATAATTAATTCTCTCTTTGATTCATTATTTCATCAAATATAAATTATTAATAATATAATATTTTATGGTATGAAATAATTAATGTCTTTTGTCTTCTGTGCATCACTTTGAGCATCCTATATTACCGCCGCATAAAATATGGGTCAAGTCTATAGATGATGACTTGTAATAATTTGTAAATTTGATGTTACGTGGAAAAAATTTTGATGTCCCTTGTGTCAGCTAATTTAGAAATTATTACATTTTAAAAATTATATATGGACTGACGATCGACTGCCATTATTATCTTCCATTCTTATATTGTTACCGTTAAATTGAATCATATGAAGGTAATTCATCCACCATAAAGAATCTCTTATATGTTCATTATTATAATTATTACTGTCATTGTTTAATGAAAGTAGAATTTATCAACATTCGCATTCATGATTCAATTGAGGATATTGACTCTTCTAATTATCGTTTACCGCTAACTATTCAAAAATTATTTATTAAGATCAGTATATATATATAATAAAAAATAAACTTGCACGTAATTTAATTAATTCGGAAAGTGTTAAAATCTGAAATAGTGGAAGGTAAATCTACAGAAAATAATTCAAAATTCTTTATCTATTTTCAATGGTAAAGGGTAAGGTATAAGTAAACTTACTGGATGTAATGATTCCACCCTTCTTTAATTCTTCATATAGCCTTGTTATCTGATCGTGCATCAGCACACAAACTTTTAGCTTATCATCATGGTACTTTACCGGTATTAACAGTAAATTTACTATGTTCTATCACCAGAACTTCTATATTATGAGTTACAGTAATACCAGAGGATAATGCAAGCATTTTACAAGTTTTATTAGCCCCCTAAAAGATAATTGCAATAAATACCAACCATTTTATCAAATATATTAATAAAAGCTCTATAATTGTTGAACAAAGGTCCACACAAAATAGGTCCAATGTGTGATTCTGAAAAATCATGTCGAAAATACAACTCGTTGATGAAAAAGTATTTTTATTGATAAATTAATATAAACAATAATTTTAATGAATAAAATATGTATTAGATAACAGTCGCAGGACATTGCAGATCTACAGGAGGTCAAGTGTCAACTCGTATATGGGACATACTGCAACAAAAACCAAACAAAGTGAACATTGGTATTACCAAGGATTTCAGGGATCAAAATTTAGTTATTATTATTATCATCACAATTTAGTTTTATAATGTCACATTTGTTATGAAACTCATTTACATCAGATCTACTATGGAGCCCAAGAATTACAAGTATTTTGAAGAAAAGGCGAAAAAATTGACCAAAATGGATAATTTTACTAGCATTCACTTATAGTCAAAGCCACACTTGATTCCATGTCAGATATATAATTTGTTTTTCCACCAGGGCTGGCCGTGTAACCTAAGTGGGTATTTGACAGTGAGTAAAATTCAATGGTGACACAATCTACATGCGCACATTCCATAATCGGAAAAAATTTTTATTTTATAAAATATACAGCAGTTTTTTCGTAATAAAAAAAATAAATAAAAAATGACATTTTGTAGCTTAGGTTCTTACAATTATGCTTAAAGTTTTTTGTAATATCTAGAACTTTTTTAATTTAAAAAATTAATAATAACAAAAATTTGCTGATTACAATTTGAATCATGTTTTTAATTTTTTAATTGTTAATTTTTCCATATGTTTTGAATCATGGAATTTTTACATATTTAATATACAAAGTCATAGTTTTCATTTGGTATAATTTAATAAATTTTTATCATGTGAAATTTTGATAATTTAGATAATACTGTAACTTTTACAAATTTAATCAAATTTTGCATTTTTAGTTCTAGATATTACAAAAAACATTAAATCATATGCACAATTGTAAGAACCTAAGCTATTGAATAATGTAAATTTCATATAAAGTTAATATGTAACATTTTAATATTTTTCAAAAACTGCATACTTTCTTCCAGGTACTGTAATAATTTTCTTTAACATTCATGGTTGCTCCTTCTGATTTTTTTGCCTTCCCAATGCTTATATGCTTTTTCAAAATCAAAATCTTCTATTTCTGGTCCATTTAATAATATCATTAAATGATTACTCAAAGTATCAATACTCATTTTATTTCTCATATTATTTTTTATTAAATTTTGCTGGGAGAATATTCTTTCTACTTGAGCATTAGAAAGGGGTATAATCAGCGCTATTTTAAGAATGAGTGATATAGTTGGATAATTAAAAGAAAAATCTTCATCTGTATCCAATATATGCTTCCATAATTGAATAAAATCCATTTCTTCATTATTATTTTTATAAGTCCAGAGATAATATTTTACTAAATCCCACTCTTGCTTAAGTTTTTCTTTATCAATAATTTTACTAAATTCAATTCTATTTATATATTTAGTTTCTCCATAAAAATCACCTAAAAATTCTATTTCCTGATTTCCATATAAAGCTAATTCTCTATCATCACTTGGAAGCTCTTTTGGATCAAGAATGCTGAAAGAGCCATATAATTCAGATTCTGGAAATCTATTTCTAATGGCATTAATAATTGCAATTGAATATTCTGGAACAAATTGTGGAATAAAATTATTATGTTCATCTAAATATTTTTTAAATATTGCGCCATAATTTGGTGGAATTTCTTCAGATCCTATAAATTCTGTTTGGATTGCTTTAAGTGTAGTATCAAGTTGTGATTTAAAATGTGATAATGATAAATGTTCCAATTGGAATATATTTATTAATTTTTTTAGAATATTTGTTAAATCAGCAAGATACTTTGTTGCTGAAATAAAAGTTTGATCCATTTGCTCATATAAAACTTCAGCATGTTTATCTCCTTCTTGGATATTCTCATTTAGAGCAGATAATACAGAGTCCATGATTTGATGCAAATTACCCACAGAATTTGAAAATGATAACCACCTAGTAGCACATATATTTAATATTACAAGTGATGGTTCTTCATTAATTTCCTAGTAATGATAAAAATTATTAATAAAAAAAATCAAATTAAAATAATTATAATGATAATTAATTACCTGCATTAACTTTAAAATTTGTTGTCGTTTATGAGATTTTGAAAAATAACCATACAAATTTTTCAAAATTTTCTCATACTTTTCAAAATATATGACATCTTCTGAAGCATCTTTCCCAGCTAGATGAAGTCTATGTGATATACAATGATTTGAAGACATGAATGGATTGATTCCTTTGAATCTTGCTGCAACACCACTTATGTGACCTAAAGGTTAAAACATCTATTAGCTAAAATAAAACATTAGTCCATCGACATTAATTAAGTATTAATTTCATACCAGTCATATTTGAAGCTCCATCACTTCCAAAATGAATTATTTGATGATAGGATATCTCATTTGAAATACAAAATGATATGATTTGGTTATAAATATTTTCTCCAACAGTTGAGTCTAGATTAATCAAGCCCAAATACCTCATAATTGGCATATTATTAGCAATACATTTTCCCACAATTGCTAAATATTTATCATCACCAACACTATTAGCTTCATCAATCATTACACTCCAATAAGGTGAAGAATTCAACTCATCAAAAAGTGAATTTTTTATTACAGAGGCTATACTATCTAAAAAATCAAATCCAGCTATAGAATTTTTATAACTTCCATATTTTGATTTAGATTTTGATGGTTTTTCTAATGAAGCAGGTTTTAAAGTAGAAATTTTATTGCTAATGTTGTTTTCAGTTTGTAAAGACATTAAATTACACAAATCAGGGTAAATTTTTTTTAATGAAATATTATGTTTTGAACAAAAATAAATATTTCTCATTAATGAAATAATTGACAATTTTTCTCCATTTGATTGTTCTGTATCTGAAACAAGTAATATTGATTCTGATTTTTTATGCTCATTGGTGTTTGAATGTGCTTTGATTTTATCTAACCTAAAAAATTTTGTACCTTTTGAAAAATTTGACATTCCATTTCTATTTCTACAAAGTTTACAAAAAATTAATGTTTCTTGATTAATTTCTTCAGATTCCAACCATGTATATCTATTGAACCAATCTTTATTGATATTTTTTCTATAATGTGAACTTTCTTTTGTTTGTTGTAGTTCTCCAATTTCACCACTATTATTTAATTCATCATCTGATGATTCAATAAGTTCTATTGTTTGAATTGAAATATTAAATTCTTTTTCAGGCATTTTATTTTTTTTAGAATTGGAATTTTCTTTTTCAGACCAAGATCTTTTTGGGTTATATTGATTTGACATTTTTAAATGAATTAATTATTAAAAAATTTTTTATTTTTTTTTTAATTTTTTTGAAATTGATAAAAATTGAGGCAAAAATTACAATGATTTATAATTATTCAAATTATGCAAAGCAAAATTAAGAATGAATCAAGACAATATTAAAATTACAAAATGAAGATAGTATATATAGTTAAAGAAACATGGTTAGTTAAGTTTCAAAATATCCAATTCCAAACAATATTAAGTTATATTTTCTTGGATAATATTAAGAGTTATTTGACAAAATGTAAATAGTAATAAAATAATGTTAAGGGGAGAAATTGTTTCAAAGCTAAGGTAGGGATTTTGTTTCAGCCGTGATTTGATATTTTTAATTTTTAATTACACAGATTTTTGGATTTTTTTCTGCACAAATTTTTAGTCACATAAATGCCGTGTAACGTGATACCCGCCCATTCCGCCCGCTCAATTTTTCTCACTGGGTATTTGGCTAAACTGACTAAAACTATTTAGTCAAGAAAATTATTACCAAATTAGGACTTTTAACTTCTATACTTCAATTTTTATAATATTATTCATTTTTTAATAATAATCTTTAAGAAAAATTTCCTTGCAAATTTGATATATTTTATCAATAAAATAACCATAAATGATTGAGTGAGAAGGAAAAAAAAGCATTAACATGATAAAAATAAAGTTAAAAAGCAATATTGATGGGGTTTTTTAATAAATTACATATAATTGGGATTTAATAATTTTGGTGATGAAAAAATTTTTTGTTTGTCAGCTCAGTTGAAGTCTTACCTAACAGTTCATGATAAATTTTTGTGTTTTTTTGTGAATGAGACTTATGAACTAGAAAGATTTTAATTAGTAAAGAAAAAAATATAGTGAAAAACAAAAAATTCAGGAAACTAACTTTTCATGAAAGAAATTTATACTGTGTATAGCCTCTATACATTTTGGAAATGCTTCAACAGTTCATAGAATAATTATTCCTGTTAATCCAAGTATACATATAACTTCTTCAAACATATATGATACTTGCACCCAATTTTAATGTAAGTTCTAAAAGGAGAAAATATTATGACATTAACAATGTTTATAAACATTCATATTTGGGGCATGCTGCAACAAAACCAGACAAAGTGAACATTGATATTACCAAGGGTTTCAGGGATCAAAATTTAGTCATTCCATCACAATTGTAATGTGATCAGTTTTATAATGTCACATTTGTTAAGTGATATATAGGCTTATCTTAGACAAAAATAGTTAATATGAAATTAATTTACATCAGATCTACTATGGAACCCAAGAATTATAGCACCATTAGAAGTATTCTGAAGAAAGAACAAGGTGAAAAAATTGCTCCTTACATTTTCAAAATAAATGATACTCAGACACTGGAAACTTATCTAAAAAAAGAAAGGATTATTTATGAAATTTACCAAGAAGAAAGAAAAATCATAACCAGTAAAAGAACTTTGTCACAAAATCATGAAGAATTTAGAAAGAAAAGAAAATTGGAAGGGAAATAATTTGCTACCTAAATGTTCAGGTAACCACTACAGATTGAGAAGCTTTAATGTGAAATGTTTATTACCATTGCTATTATTGTAATGGCGTAATAAATGTGATTTTTTAACATAAAAGCTGTACCTATGACTTTTTTGGAGTACTGCAATACACAATGGTGTAAATTTTTAAAATTCGCAAATTTGCTTTATTTAATCATTAAAAAATTATTACATTGATTCTTTTTCTTTTCTTTTCTTTTTTTTTTTTTTATACTAATTATTTATTCTATTTTTTTATTCATATTATATATCACAAGTAATCTAACATAAAATATGTTTCGTTTCGATATAAAAAGATCAGTTCTTTAGACTATACTTATATATATATATATATATATTTGACATTATATTTTTTGTGAATGGTAGTGATTATATATATCACAAATAATATTTGTTTAAAAGTCTAAGTAGAGTGTGATCATACAGAGATCTAACTAAAATTTTCAATCCGTTATATTCCTATTATTTGGTGATGCAAAAACGATAGAGTCATTGTCATGCCGTGTACCACGACGTTTAAAATTTTTTCGAGATTTACGCATGGATTCCACGTGTTGTTGTAGTTTCATAACACGATGCTAAACAATAAATGTGTATTAAATTAAATTAAATAATAATAATATCAAGCCAGAAGAATAAGTTTTGTTACTTTAAATGTGTTCATTATATAGATAATTTCATTCAAATTTCCTAATTGTAATGGCGTATCTGGCATTGTAAACCCGTTGAACTGATCGACAAAACAAATGCCATCTATCCAATGCATGGAATACATAAAAAATTCCTTTTCTATGCAATTGAAGTATACCTTATGATTAATAATCATTTATAAATAAAGATTAATAAATTAGACTATTACATACTATACACTAATAAACCAAATGTTTCCAAATCTTCGAGGCCTGAACTATTTTGAGGAAATAATTTCCTGAGGTTAAATAATGCCAATTGCATAGCTATAGATCAAAATAATTTTGTTGATAATAAAATAAAATTTAAATCAAAATAATTTTGTTAATGATTTTCAAAATAAAATTGAAATTTTATATTTTTACCTTTTAATAATTTTTCACGATCCTCATTTAATTTTTTTTCATCTTGTTTAAATGCATTTCCAATTACTTCACCAAATGCGATTTGAACATCTCTGTTTCCAACTTTCATAATTAAAACAGCATCGTGATACCAGCTCCCAGAATTTGTTCTACCTTTTTTTGTATTTCGGTTTAAATCTAATTGCTTTTTTCTGTCAATATTTTCTATTTCGCCTCTGGTTTGATATAAGATACATTAGTATATATAAAGAATAACCAAATGACAATAAAGTGGCTTACGTTTTCATTCGGATTAAACAATTTATATCAAAGAATAGATCCTCCCAGATGTGATTTATAATTCAGCTCCTATATGAGTACTCAGATGCCGTACCATCATTGAGAGGGTTAATAGGCGTCTGAAAACATGTTAAGCTATCAATTATAGATATATATGTCAGTATCGTTATTTGCGTATGCAAATTGTGATTAAAATTTGCTTACAAGGCGGTATATAATTGTTGCATCCATCTAAGAGGCCAGTCCCTCGCAAACAAATACAAATGTTGATCCGAAAACGGGCTTTGACTAACGGTAGTTTCAACCTTATTCAAATCAATGTAATATCCTACGGTAGCATCTATAATTGCTTTATTATATTTCTCTAGAAGTAATTGCAGATTTTCCACAAAAGAGGGAAAAGAATTCCCCATTTTTTTCTCTACCTGTGAAACAGTATTTATGTCAATATAGGAAATGAAAATCAATCATGATATAAATAAAAAACATACTTTTTCCCAATTTAATTCCATCATTGACCATTCTTGATCAGTATACAAAGATCTAATCGGATCAATGACATTACATTCTGGTAAAAATACAATTCTGTATCTTGCGATACTGCTATTACTACTGATAAGTCTCTCAATAACTGGATTGTTTGAATTCTGTATATGAAAAAAAGTTTTATTAAATGATGAGCAGTAATAAAGTATAAAAAAGACAAAGATATCAAACCTCGAAAGATGACAATTCTTGAAAATATAAATTTTCTATTTCTTGATTAATATCAAAATCATCTCTATCCTTTTCCTGTACAAGTTGAACAATGGAAGAGGTCACTTCTGTTGTTAAATCTTTTCGAATTTCGTTTCCATTACTTTCGATCTGTATCATGTTCAAAAGTAAAAAATATGATATTTTTGTGCTATATATAAGTTATATTTCATACTAACGGAGACAACATCCTCATTCGATAAACATCTTTTCAGTGATTCAGATGTAATTTCTCCGAAGGACAAGAAGGTAGTTTGATCTCTGTAATCATTTTTTCTTTGATTTGGATTCGTGTTTTCTTTATCTTTTCTTCTTTTTTTATTAACGACAGACATTTTTATTTTTTAAAAAAAAACAAACACGTAAAACAAACTAGAGTAACGACAGGTGGCGGGCGATAACCACCACTACCATCCTTAAAAACACTTACCCAGCTATTCCAGATGTAATTTTTTTGGTATTTTGATTTTTCTTTCGTTTTTGTAGTGGCATAATTTTAATATTAAAGAAGTTTGTTATTTGATCGACACGTACACACTAATTATTTATCCTATTGGTTTTTTTTTTTGGTAGGACAGACGCGAATTGATTGATTTTTTTTTTCTTTCTTGGAAAAACAATTTATTTTTTGACAGAGTCCAAGGTGACAAAATTTGAATCTCCTAAAGAAGAAGTGTTAATAACTAACCAGAGGTACTTTTTTTTTATTTGAATTGATATATATATTTGTTGTCTTTATTGGTTATAATAAATATTTTAATTGGAATCAAAACGCGGAGCAGATCTTGCTGGGTAATTACAAGATTTTCATTGATAATATTTTACTTTTCGTAATCAATAATATTAATAATATTATTATATTATTATAATCACAAGAAGATATCAAGGCAGCATGACTGACTGTTACAGAAGAAACAATTCAAATATGAAACAATTCAATATGCAATGTTTGATTATCAGAAATTGGCAGGTGTTAAGCACACATGCTGCCTTGAACACTTTACAGTCATTCACTCGTTCCTCGTGTACATAAGGCTAATCTGACTTGCGACCCCTCGATGATATGATGATGCAACCAAATTCCAGGGGAGGGACGCAATGCCCTGAGATTTACTGAGATTGCATCAATCGTCAAGGATGCTTTCACTAATCTTCCCAGGCCAGAGATGGCTGCTGCCATGTTGGATGAAAAGTTGCCTGCAACGATCCTACCTCTAGGGCAAGGATGGCACTGTGACCAAGTTGCAACTCTGCAGATGAATATTAGTGCCATGTAAATATCCAGATCCATCAAAGCAATGAGAATCTGCAGCTTGTTTCAAGCACAGGAGGTTGCAATTCAGAGCAGGGTTGGTGGCCCTGAAATTGCATTTGGACTCTGATGTTAAGAGGGAAGTTGTAAAATAGTGTTT